CAAATGGAGAAAGTCTCGCATTCTATATTGATATAAGGTGCTTTGTACAAGTGCGTATGAGAAAGTATTGCACGTTTATAGCACAGTTGGGGGATATTTAACTGTTCATGAGGTAGAGAGCCTGAGGGTAGAAACTTTTCCTGTGTCTGGCTGTTTTTGTGCTTGGTGCTCTGAAGCGCCGACCAGACGGTAACAGTTCGAACAGGTAGTGTGCTGGGTGCGAGGCATCCAGAGTGATTTTGCGAGCCCTTTTACTCTGGAAGAGTACAGTTCTTGAAGTGTAGGAAAGGTAGTGCCAGTGATACGTTCAGCAGTCCGGACTATTCGCTGTAGCAGTGTTGGGCAAGCTACTTGACAAATGTAGTGAGCTAAGCTATTAGCTACTCTACTTAAAATGTAACTTAACTACACTAAAGCTACCCCCTGGGAAATATAGCAAGCTAAGCTAAAAGCTACATGGCAAAAGTAGCTTAGCTATATCTAAACTATTTTACAATTTTCATTTTTAAATCGAAGCAACTTAAATCCAAGTCAATCATATCTTAGTGATTAATAAAACTGTCAATGAACCATATGAGGCATAATAGTTTAGTTCAGTTAATTACTGTAAATAATATGCTGTTCCAAACAGAAACACATTATAGTACATAACAGCTAAAACAAAAACAAAAAATCCAGTAAAACCAGGTGTTACACATTTAAAATACTATAGTAATTTATAGTAAAGGGAAACATTTTTGATAATATATATATATATATATATATATATATATATATATATATATATATATATATATATATATATATATATATATTGTAATAAGCATTATAGTGTTATATATAATAAAGTATTTATATTTTTTGAGCACAGCATCAGAAATTAAGTTATTGCATCTTAACATGTACTTCTCGAGGTATGGTCACAAGGAATCCTGCTTCAGAAATAACTCCTCTCCCTCAGTCATCTTTCCATCAAGCAAGTTTCACCTGAGGTGGCAGTAACGCACCAAAAACTTTGTTGTCTAACACCATAAAACAGGAAGAAGAGGAAATCATCCTTCTCCCTATCATATGAATTTACTTTCTTCGGCTGGACACCGGCCTCACAGCTCAGTGAATGTCGGTGCCGTCACTTATTCATCCGCAATTGGTAACTGTAGCTTTGTGGACACTACTGCGCTACTTGACTAATAAAATAGCTCCGCTACTGAAAAGCTATTTGATTTTGAAAGTAGCGACGCTACCGCCACGCTACTGAGAAATGTAGTTAACTACTTGTAGCGACACTATAGCCCAACACTGCGCTGTAGTCTACGGAGGTCGGATTTGGCAGCTGAGCCAGACAGTGATTGAAGAGCAAATGACAGTTAACAGTGCAAGAAATTTTTCACAGTATTACCTATAATAATTTTTCTTCTGGAGAAAGTCTTATTTGTTTTATTTTATCTAGAATAAAAGTAGTTTTTTATTATTATTTTAAACCATTTTTAGGTCAATATTATTAGCCCCCCTAAGCAATATTTTTTCTCAACTGTCTACAGAACAAATCTATAGAAATTGGGAGAAAAAATATACAGGATTCTGACTTCAACTGTATGGTACGAAGGTTCTCGAATCCCTCATTGTATCACTATCTGATAATACAAACCTTCTTACCAACATTCCCAATAGCTCTTAGATTAACCATTCCAAATTACTGACTGACAGTCCAAACCCCGTAATCTCAGAGGCACTTTTTAATTGTCAACAACAAAACATCTTTATCAGTCATCTGTTTCGGAGCGCATTCAGATTTGAAATTACCTCAACCATTGTTTCACAAGCAGCTCCACTGATTAATGAAACCCCATTGTGAAGATGGCAACTCTGGGGATACTTGCATTTAAGCCAATGAATGGGGTTATTATTGCTATGACAAACCTACCATTAGGTGATTATTAGTGGTGTTTACAAAGGCAAGCTATTCTATCATAATCGCTCATAGCAAGGGTTAGGGATTTCAGCAAAACACTAACTACGTAACTTTGGCATGAAACTCATTCTGGGGTGTTTTTCCCAAAACAACAAGGAAAACTCATGGCTAAACTAGTATGATGAATCATTTGGGGGGAAAAAAACAATGTTGTGACAAGTATTTCCTAAAAACATGGTTACACTGTAAAAAAATACAGGATTCCACACAATTCATTCATGTCGTCCTAACACAAATCGATTAAGTTAACTCATCAAATTTAACTGGATTAAACATAAAACAATTAAGGGGTCCCAAAAAACATCTTAAGAGATGTGTCGCTTCAGCTCATTTGAAATAAGTAGTTTGAACAAGCAGCATAAATCATTATCTGAGTGTACTCTGCCACAGTTTGTTTGAACCACATAAGACGTACTTAAGATTGTATCGAGTTCAGTACCAATCGGTACTGAAATGTTAAAAAATGTCCCTTTTTTCACAAACATTTGAGCGCTTTTGAGCGCGTTCCTAAACACAACTGACTGGCCATTGTGTTCACGTGCTCAACAAAAATGACTGATTGGCTGGGAAAAGCCATTGGTGCAGACACGGGTACATGGACACTGAAGTGTTTCAAAGCCATTTTATATTAGCGTAAAATTGATGTTTTTAAAATATTAGTACTGATTGGTTCCGTACTCTATACTTTTGACAACCCTAGACATAATGCTTACGTTATGACATTCCTCAAGGTATCATTACTTGTAAAAATAACCCATCTTTTTGAAGGCAATAAGGTCCCGTGAAATTAAATTAATTTGTTTTTTAGATGTTACATGTTAGTATCAGTTTGTTAGACTTAATGAAATAAAATAATAAAGCTTGCAGTTTGCCACGTCAGTCTAAAGAAGTCAACAATCTTTTGACATTGCCTCATAATTTAGTTCCTCATCAAATCTTCTGACCAATAAATTTTTGACTAACAAATATTGCACAATTCAAAAAGAAATCATGGGGCCTTTAAAAAGCAAGAGAAATCCTTGGTTTCAGCTTCACAGCAAGTGGCACTCTTGTGGTTCAAGACAAAATCAATTGAGCAAATCAGTTGTCAAATGCAAACAATTACTTTTTAAACATTCAACATCCTGCTGTGCAAGAAATCCTATATAAGTGAATTTCATCTTTCACTATTGACCTGCTGTACTTTTGTTAAATAGGGAAAAACATTTTACATGTAACTTTTAGCATATTCTTGCTTTTGATGACCAATCAAAAGATGTAAGACACCAAAACAAGCCCATGTTAAAGCTTAGTTGAATATTAATTAGGCTTATTTTGTTATCAATGATTTTTCAAGTAGACTTTTTTTACAAGAAAGGCAGGTAACATTGTGAAGCATTACATTATTATTAAATTTATTATTATTATTATCATCATTATTATTATTGTGTTTTTTTATTATTCAAATGATGAAATTCTAACTGAGGAAAGTTGAAAGTGTCAAAGTAATTTGTCTAATAAATGACATTGGACTACAGTTTTACAGTAAAGATTCCTAATATATTTATATATTTTTTTATGATAGATGGTGTAATAAATGAGCACTGTTTATATATATATATATATATATATATATATATATATATATATATATATATATATAAATATATATTAATTATATATAACTCATTCCTAATAACTGATTTATTTTACCTTTGCCAGGATTACAGTAAATAATATTTTACAAGATATTTTTCAATGTTTTTCAGCAGCAGGAACTGAAAGACTAATCAGGATATAGGGTTCGATGAATGCAGCCATGTACGGAGACATCCTGAATGAAAGCCTGCTTCAGAGTACTCTTGACCTAAGACTCGGGCAACGGTTCATCTTCCATGACGCAAAGCACACCGCCAAAATATCGATGGAGTGGCTTCACAACTACTCTGTGAATGACCTTGAGTGGCCCAGCCAGAACCCAGGCCTAAACCCTATTAAGCATCTCTGGAGAGAGCTGAAGATGGCTGTACACAGTCACTTCCCATCCAACCTGGTAGAGCTTGAGAGGTACTGCAAAGAGGAATGGGCAAAAATTCCCAAAGACAGGGATGCCAAGCTTGTGGCATCAGGACTTGAGGCTGTAATTGCTGCCAAAGGTGCATCAACAAAGTATTGAGCAAAGGCTGTGAATACTTATGTACATGTGGTTTATCAGTTTTTTTTATTTTAAATAAATTTGCAACAATTTCAAAATATATATTTTTTCACACTGTCATAGGGTATTGTGTGTAGAATTTTGAGGAAATAAATGAATTCAATCCATTTTGGAATTAGGCTGTGATGTGGAAAAATGTGGAAAAAGTGAATAACTATGAATTCTTTTCGGATGCACTGTACAACAATGATATTATATATATATGTATATATATATATATATATATATATATATATATATATATATATATATATATATATATATATATATATAAATAGATTTAGAATTCCCTTATGTGTAAACCCTGCTGGTAACTGCAGTTACAATATGTTCAGTATTCAGTGTTGAGAACATCAGCTGATGTCAATCTGTGGGTCACACATGCCCTCTGGACAGCGAACAGCTAATGAGAATCGAGCATGAAAAAGTGGCTTCCCAGGTCTAATCTGTGAACAGCCTGCCAGTGTTTCTCCAGGAGAGGTGTGAGAGAGATTGTGTGTGTTCGAGACACCAGCAGTCTTGACTGGCATTTACACCTCTCAGGCGGGCGCCGTCACTCTAATTATTTCCTCGGGCAGCTGGGACGGGGCAGTGTGCCAGCCCAACAGCAGACATACACAGAGAGTGATCTCTAAAAGTGGACACTGCTGCCACAGCGGGACTCAAAGCTCATGTTCGTCACGCCGAGGAATCAATGACCTGTTAGTGGAAATCACTGTCTGATTCAGAGCTCGGCAGCTATTAATAACAGTGTCTCCATCCACTCGGGAGATCTGCGAAGACTAAAACGCTGCCTGAAGATAAAGAAGAAGAAAAAAAGACGTTATTGCCTACCTGTCCTCAATGAGCTGGTCTTTGTACATCCATGTGATTTCAGGAGTGGGATATCCCGTCACCACACAGGGGAGCAGGACACTTTCGCCGACCAGTTTAGACACATGTTGAGGCTCCTGGAGAAACTCCAGCGTCCTTTCCTCACCCGTTTCTGCACAAAATCGAGAAATGAATGCAGTCAGTGCTTACAAAACACAATATCACAAACGTAAATCATTTCTGACACTCTCAAAGACGTTCAGTTTGCTTGATCTGTGTCAGCAGTGTATTGTTCAACCCAGGCTTACTGAAGATATGTGCCCAGGGCTACATATTTGGGAACCACAAAATAGATGCACAGGGATAAGAATTGCAGTTTTATTTTTCACAAATCCAGCAGTGGTCCTCAACCACCGGGCCGCAGATCGATACTGGTCCATGGATCAATTGGTACCGCACAAGAAATCATTAATTATTTCCGTTTTATTTATTATCTGAGTCTGAACGATCTTTTATTTGGAAAAGTCATTTATTTTGAAAAATGACAGTATTCTCTCGCTTACATCTTGGAGGGCCCAAATTTAACCCACGAGCAAGCAAAATGAGTAAGAAACAAGGTGAAAAGACCCAGTGATGGACCCATGAACAGCCGAGGAATGGATCTGCAACCCAGTTGTCAATGAACCAGATGAATCCTCTACGGCTGTGTAGAAGATCAACAGATGGAGATCTCACGCATATTGTGTTTTTTCTAGAGTTTGCACAAGTTCGTTATTTCCAAGCGGCATGATACGGCGTGACGCTCTTCCCGCCTTCCAGACCAGACGCACTAAGTTGAATGAATCCAGTAAACGCACCGCAGGTCACATGACAAGACCTGACCATTCAGCTTCCACTTATATGGAATATACACATTTCGGTAAGACTAATAATCTCAGACAAACACAGAACACCCAAACACTGCAGTGTTTTGCAGTGCAGTGCAGTACCAGCAATGTTTTGTCAGCTTGTCTTCTTCTGAGAACGGTTGATGGTCACCTAGCTACCCCCTCCCCCCGGTCCGCAGTAAAATTGTCAAGCGTTGACCGGTGCGTGGAGAAGAAAAGGTTGAGGACCACTGCACTAGAGGCCAGCTACATTTTTGACAACTACATTTTTGAAAATCTTAAATACGTTAAATAGCCATGTTTTTACATATGTGCCATTTATCGTAAACCCACCAAAGGACGCTGTGTACATTTCTGTGAATCTCAAATATCACGTTTGCTCATCTCATTTACACACCCTTCTCGCACGAGTCTGTGAGAAGATGGCCTTGTTGTGCAAAATACATTAGCTTGCTATCAACTGACCCACCCACCCCTTCTCTAACCCAACCTATAATGTTTTCAGAAGCAAACTAAATAAGTGTGCTTTTACCATGTTTTTTTTCATTGCTTTTATTTTATTTATTATTATTTTTTACCTGGTTTCTGGCACTGTCCTTCTTTTATTTTCTCAAATTCACTAGAGGTCACATATGCAATTTTTTGACAAAAAATACCTAATTGCCCACGTTTTCTAATGCATGCCATTTCTTGTAAATCCACCAGAGGTTGCTGTGTATATTTCTGCAAAATTCAAAGAGATTTCTTCCTTTTCTAGTTTTTTTTATGTAGTTTCTGGAATTGTTCTTTGCTAGATTTGTTCGCAAGCAAAATAAACATTGTAAATTTGATTTTACGCAAACTAACTGTGTCCATTCACAGGCATAACCAACATTAAGTGAAAACAATTTGTGAAATTTATGGTTCATAAAATTTTTTAAATAGTTTTTTTTTTTCATTTAGCTTTTTTTTAAGTATATTTAAATGTTTAAAAACATTTTGACAATGTAAATCATTTAAACCTTGCTTATTTTACCCATAATTATTAAGAACTGGTACAGGTTTAACAAACAATATCTTTAATCAGAAAAACAGATGTACCTATAAAGTCAAGGGTACGTGAAATAATAGTATAAGTAAACAAATCCAAAAAGCACAGACATTTGTTAATGTTTGCCACAAAAATTGCAAAAAACTGCTAATTCTTTTTTTTAATTTAAATTTTATCTGATTTTTAAAAAAAAAACTTGGTGGATTGCATAAGTGTGAGACATTTTTCAACATGTTTGGGTCATTTAAACAAAGCTGTGATAATACTGAAAACTATGATAAATTTAGTCACTATAATCATGCTGTGAATTTGTCACATCGTTGCATCTCTGATACATTATTCATAGAATGCATTTGAATGTTTACAATCTACAGACTACATTCAACCCTTTAGGCTTTAATACTCATTGTTTATTTATCTCAGCGAGAAGGAAGAAGAGGTGTTTTATTTGCTCCTTTACATATTGGCTTGTGCTCCAGGTTTAGTGTGATAACCTCAGCAGGTGACGCTGCTTTGGGCCTGATTTATGTTATCTAATATCTATGAGCCTGGAAAAATAAATCTGCATGCTGAATATCTGCCTCAAAGGAGTTCATTCCCCCTTAACTTCAGCATAAATCACATTGTTCTCTTTGATAACGCCACACATAGCTTTAAATCTCTCTCTCTCTCTCTCTCTCTCTCTCTCTCTCTCTCTCTCTCTTTTTCATGCAGTTGTCCCTATTTCAGTATCAGCTATCAATGTCTCCTTTTATTCTCAGTTTTTGTTCTTTTTGAACAAATAAATAATTAATTTAAAACATTTGAATTTATTTTTTTTTAAATAAAGACACAGTATACTGTACAATTGGTCTTTTACAGGCCATGCAGTAGTATATTGGTAATTACAAAAAAGCTAAAATTAAAAGTTTCTTTTTTTTTGGTTATTACAAACCATTATTTTAAGATTTTATGATATTTATAAGTATAAATTAGTGCTGGGAAAAGATTAAATGTGAGTAACTGCAACCAAAATAAATGATTTATGATAATATATTTGACAATATATTAGCCCCCTGAATTATAAGCCCCCCTGTTTATTTTTTCCCCATTTTCTGTTAAAGGGACAGATTTTTTTTTTCAACACATTTCTAAACATAATAGTTTTAATAGCTAATTTCTCATAACTCATTTTTAATGACTAGATATTTTTCAAGACACTTCAATACAGCTTAAAGTGGCTTAACAAGGTTAATTAGGTTAACTAGGCAGGTTAAGGTAATTAGGCAAGTCATTGTATAATGATGATTTGTTCTGTAGACTATCAACAAAATATATAGCTTAAAGGGGCTAATAATATTATCCTTAAAATGGCTTTTAAAAAATTAAAAACTCCAGAAGAAAAAATATCTGACAAACTGTGAAAATTTCCTTCATTTGGGAAATATTTAAAAAATAAAAATAAATAAATCAAAGTTGGGCTAATAATTCTGACTTTAACTGTACATATAAGGGGTGAAAAAATGATTGATATTGGTTTAGTAATAATCATAACCGGTTATATTGTACTGATGTCATTTATCACGTATGCCTTATATGGTGGTAGCGTACTTTAGCGAGGGAGGAGACCACGAGTAATTAAAATGCTCCAACTACTTAAAAAGCAGATAACTGTGCACAATTCACTGCTTGTGAAATAGCTAGGCTACTTGTGAACCCAGTTAGGAACAAAATGAAAGCTGTAAAGCAGGGCTATTTAATTAGTTTGTCATGGGAGCCAGTTCATGAAAAGCATCCCACATGAGGGGCCGGAGAGATATGACTTGCAATATAAGTGATGACAAAACAGCATATAAGAGCCCATATGTTGGATTTTTGCTCCTTAAGACACCCATGTTGCATTTTTCTACATTAAAATGTTAATATGTTGTTTTTTGAAATTACATAATATCAGTGCACTGTACAATGTGGCTTTTTTACGAACATAATCAAATGTATTTCAAAGCACAACAAAAGCAGTGCAATGCTTAAGTAGGCTTCTTCTACATTCAGGCACATTCAGATGTTATGTTTTAAACTGCGTAACAATTAGGGATGCAATAATTATAGATTTTGGTTGTACGATTACAGCGTGAAAAAAAAACATGGTTTCACGGTTATCACGATTATTATGCATTTAATAAATTCACCACACTACTAGTTTAGAAAATCACAAGAAAACTGCTTATATTTGAGTGTTGTTTATTGCTGCTCAGTAAGCAAATACAGCACAAAATATTAATAAAAAAAACAAACACTAGTCCATTTTTCTATTTGGACTTAAAAATAAATTGAAAAGTTTTTGATTTAAACATGAGTGATAATTTTACAATGAAAATAAATGAAAGAACAATAAATAAATAAATAAAAACAAGAATAAATAAAAAAAATCGTATTAGTCTAATGCTAATTTTAGCTATGTATTAGCTATTATTTTAAATGAACAGTTGTTGTCATCTGCGTTCATAACCTACATAATCATTTTAATAATTTTCAATAATTCTTCTATATGAATAATAATAATTTATGATAATAACGTATCTTTTGTTTACATTGCACTAAAAGCCACGCACAACTCTCACCACTACAGCATGAGATAATTTCTACTGTGTGCACCTGGAGGGTGCGAGTGCGTCAGTCATCACCACACCACTCCCAAAATGCGCACGTCTACATTGGAAATAACGAACTTGTGCGCGGTAAAGACAGAATATGCGAACGGCCTTCTGTTATAGTTAATCCAATGTGCATGCATATTAGCCTTGGTATAATCTCTGAATTTTAAACTGGCACACAGTTAGCATAACTTTGTTTAGTTGCAGCAGTTTTGTTTCATGCAAAAGAAACTCAGTGCTGGGAAGTCTTTACGGTTATTTAACCGCAATGAATTAGAGCACGGTTATTAGTGAAGTCGGCTAATCGTTGCATCCATAATAACGATATCAGTGCATTGTACAAAAGACCTTTTCCACAAACATATCCAAATGTTTCTGGCTGCCCGCGCCACTGGCTTAATGTCAGGTGACTCACGCTCTGCGCAGCCTTTAACTTCAGCTTGTGCTGTATTAAACAGACGCACGTCACTTCATAACTATAGCGTAGGGCTGGGCGATTTTTCCGATTTTTTCGATTAATTCGAATTTACGTTTTAAGACGATTTAATTTTGAATGAAATCGAGAAATCGTGATTTTTAAAAATATATATATTTAATACATTATAATGGCGCCAAAGCGCTTGGGTTCACTCTCTGTATGAAGCAGGAAGCACACCAGAAGCGCCTCTCGGCGACGCGCCGCACAGCACCACGCCATGGATTATAGAATTCTAAACAGGTTTCTATACACACACCGGCGCCGCCCATCCACGATTCACGAAGCAGTTCATATTTCAGCCGCACCACAGAGCGCCATCTGATTAGTTTCATGTTAAATATCATGTCAATGTGCGCGTTTGGTGTGTGAAAGTTTAAACTGTCATGTCCGCGCGGTGTCGCGGCGCTTCTGGTGTGCGACCTGCTTGACTGACTGTTAAGTCATGTAGGATTTTACTTGTTGCACGTCTCTGTGGATTGTCAAGACATTCCCTCATCAAGTCGATAAACTCGATCTCAACATGTATGAAGGACGTAAAAGCCTGCCATGTGAAAAACCGCGCCGATCTTTTGGTTTGAACACGAGCAGAGGTGAGGGACTGTAGCAGTAAAAATGAAAGTACCCGCCCCATGACGTCATTTAGCGGACCTAGTTGAAAACCAGACAGATCAGCCAGCATAACAGAGAGTGGAGCAAAGCGCATCAAATGATCGGTATTTAAAAGGGGGAAAAATAAAAATAGATTCAATGTATTATTTTATATTAGACACACATCTGGTGCTTGTATTTGCTCCTGCTATACATCCACAACTTCACACATTGGGTTAAATTAGACTTTACAGTTTCCATGTTCAGTCCTTTTTTTCCACTGTATCTTTTTAAGAAAAAGGCAGCAGCATTTCAACCTGTCATTCAATCAGAAGACAAAGTCAAAGCCGAGCTGACAGCCAATCTTTCCTAGGCTCAGCAAAACTAGCAAAAATACCTCTGTATTCCTGCAACTGCAATATTTACACAAATATTTCTTATTCAAATCTTCAGCAACGCTATTTAACTCGTGAATTTGTTTTACATTTATTTACACCTTGACCGATTTTTGTATGACATGGCCATTAAAAATACAATGTTCCTTAACCAGATGGTTTTTCAAGTTACTTATAAAGAGAATGTTACTTCAGTCATGTTGTTGTAATGTTTTGAGAAGACTAGTAACAATAAAAAAAAATAAAATAAACCGAAATCGAAATCGTGAATCGGTCAAACTTTATAAAAAACCTAGATTTTTTTTTTTTTGCTAAATCGCCCAGCCCTACTATAGCGGCTGTTTTTTAGCTTAACTAAATTTATTTTTGCTGTCTTGATCACTATTTGGAGGACCAGAACAAATTGCCTCAGGGGCCGAGTTTGGCCCGTGGCCTGCCAATTGAATAGCTCTGCTGTAGACTCTCTCTCTCTCACTCTCTGTGGCCCCTTTGACCTGCTGGTGTGTTCATGAGGTAACATTTTCGAGCGAGTGTTCTCCACCGCATCATCTTAATGAATCAGCTGAGAGTGTCACGGCCGTTTAACTTTACTGACCGTTAGAGCCAATCAAAGCCCTTTCTGTTGAGTGCGTGGTCAATCACAGGCGCTTAAGAACTCCCTCAAAAACGCCCAGATTATGTCTGTCTGAGGCATTGGGCGTGGCTAACATACTTAACCACGCCCCTAAAACTTTCAGTTTTGACAACAAACAGAAATGGTGAGGAGGTTGTGTCTGTTAGGTTGTAATAACTCTCCGGATACCAATTTCCTGACCTTTTTGAATGAAATGCCTACTTTACTACATCCAAGCTTGCAGTAAAAAAAAAAAAAAAACACGCCACGCCCTCTGTTTTCTCATTTACTAAAAAGATATCAAGCCTAATTTTGTTTATCACACTAATATATCAGCCGATATTTATACATCACCAATATATCACAACCTAGCAATAATTACCTGTCAGTATGTGCAACTGTGCTTCTTCACTGGTCTTGGTGGGTCCAGCGTTGTCGATGACACAGCGGTACAGACCCGCGTCTGTCTCTGTGGCGTTACTGATAACCAGAGCTCCACTGGGCAGACTGAAGACTCTGTGGTCCAGCTCCACCGCCTCTTTATTCTGTTCCCAGCGGATGAAGGACACCAGGTCTGGGTTGACTTCACAGCTCAACACTTGACTGTCGCCCACCCGCACCGACGCCATCTCAGGCTGACTGAGGAACCGCGCTATACCTGAAAACAGACAATTAAGAAAAAGAATGACTATAAATTCATGATGACATTCAAGACTGCACTGAAATTTAATTGTTCCACTTTTTGTGCAAGAGCTTGTATTTTGATAATTTCTTCATGTTTGAATTCTTTAACAGCATCACCATCATGTCTCATTCAAAGCAAATTACACAATAGGAATGCACTGATATAGTCATTTTGATTCATAGCAATATCCAACAACTATTTATATTTGGAAGCAGATAACAGATATATAGGGCGACACCAGAGATGGGAAGTACTTTGTAACTGTACTTAAGTAGATGTTTCTAGTATCAGTACTTTAATCCACTATATATTATTTAGACTACTTTTTACTTTTACTCCTTACATTTTTACACAAATATCAGTACTTTCTACGTCTTACATTTTTATATCGACCTCGTTACTCGCGTTTTAATGTGTTTGTGGTGCGATCTTTATTATTTCTTGATAGTATGTAATTTGAACACCTTTTTGATTTAATCAATCTAATTTTTGTCATTGCGCGCTGCAGTGCACGACTTTTCAACCAGGGCAATCATGCGCCGTACGTAGGCTTGTTTATTCAGCTTACCATGGGAACGGCAAAAATGGTAAACAGGCATAGATATATACATTAGATGTCGCCTGGCCTATTGTTGTCTATTGGACGGAATGCGTCAATAGCGTCGCCATCTTGCTACAGGGTAGCGCTCCTTTGAAATGAATGCAGGACCAAGGTATAGTGGAGGACTGTGGCCATCCAAAGCCAGAGATATACACATATACACATATATCTATGATCGGGAGTTTTCCTGGATGTTAGTAATTTTTTTCCAATTACGAAAATTATAATTTTACATCACTTTTTTACATTGATGGATCAGTGACCGCACGGGCATTCCTGACAAAAAGCTTGTGTTTGTGTGTACAGAAATGTACTATTAAATTTAATGTAATCCGTGTTCTGAAACACACCTCCTCTGCTTTCACTTCTCATACTGACGGAGGGAGCGATTCGTTTGTGAATGAATCCCCCGAACGACTCTTTCACTAACGTTAGCCGACAATAATACAAGTTTCTGGCAGCGCAGCATCTCGTTGTCATATTTCTTTTGCATTGTTTGCTGATTTTATTCAACAAAACTAGCATAAGCCGAGTGTTTAATGCGAGTTGGAGCTGCTTTGCCGTATGGTGAATGCAGTAAGTGACTGTTATCATCAATAACGTTACCCGATTAGCACAAAAGTTCAGAACATACAAAAACAGAAAAAAACTTAATATTACCTATGAAATGTTCTGCCTTTGTGCTTTGTTTTCTTTGTTTGCTCGTTACTACACCCGTAGACAGCGCTAAAGTCCCGCATCTTCACGTAATAACATGTCTTGACTAGTGCGGTTGAATGACATTTGTCCTGGTAGCACTGTACCAATGTGCGATGCTGTATCAATGCGATATCTAGTGTATCTATGGCAAACAGGGATGAGACAGGGAATCAGCGATGTAAACATGACTGTTCTCATGTTTATACCCGGTAATAAGATGTGTTTTGGTTGATCGGATCACAGGTAAAGGAGACACATTCCTGTTCAGATCTGGCATTTAAATAGGGTTCAAGTCTTTTGTCCACTACTGACTGTGGTAAACTGCACTTCTCTTATTTCTCAATCTAATACCGTGAAAAAAAAAGCCTTTAACAACCATGTGTTTTTATCAACCTTTGTTCAGTTAGGTTACTACTAAAGCAATTAAATACTAAACAGTTGAAGAATTATTACTTACCCCCCCCCCCCCCCCCCCCCCCTGTTTATTTTACCCCAATTTCTGTTTAAAGGAGAGAACATTTTTTTCAACAATTTTTTCAACAAAATAGTTTTAATAACTGATTTCTAATAACTGATTTATCTACATGATGACAGTAGATAATATATTTTTGTAGACACTTTTATACAGCTTTAAAGGCTTTCCTTGGTTAATTAGGTTAACTAGGCAGGTTAGTGTGATTAGGGGAGTTATTGTATAATGATGTTGTTCAGTAGACTATGGAAAAAATGTAAAGCTTAAAGAGGCTAATAATTATAACCTTAAAATGGTCCTAAAAACTGCTTTTATTCTAGCTGAAATAAAACAAATAAAACATTCTTTACAATAAAAAAATATTATCAGACATATTTACTATATCCTGTGATTTACCTTAAACATCATTTTAGAAATATGTATTTGAGAATATATATTTTTTTATCATTTGATTAAATATTTATTTTGAGAAATATGTAAAAAAAGAAAATAAAAATTCAATGGGGGGCTAATAATTCTGACTTCAACTAAATATATATACAGTTGTAGTCAGAATTATTAGCTTCCTTCATTTTTTTTTCTTCTTTTTTAAATATTTTCCAAATTATGTTTAACAGAGCAAGGAAATTTTAACAGTATGTCTGATAATATATTTCTTCTAGAGAAAGTCTTATTTGTTTTATTTCGACTAAAATAAAAGCAGTTTTTAAGTTTTTTAAACACCAATTCTAGGGACAAAATTATTAGCCCCTTTGAGCTATATTTTGTCTCGATAATTCATAGAACAAACCATCCTTTTACAGTAACTTGCCTAATTACCCTAACCTGCCTAGTTAACTTAATTAAACTAGTTAAGCCTTTAAATGTCACTATAAGCTGTATAGAAGTGTCTTGAAAAATATCTTGTCAAATACTATTTACTGTCATCATGGCAAAGATAAAAGAAATCAGTTATTAGAAATGAGTTATTAAAACTATTCTGTTTAGAAATGTGTTTTAAAAATGTGTGTATGTATGTATGTATGTATGTATGTATGTAGGTATGTGTGTATGTATGTAGGTATGTGTGTATGTACGTATGTATGTATGTATGTATGTATGTATGTATGTATGTAGGGATGTGTGTATGTATGTATGTATGTATGTATGTATGTATGTATGTATGTATGTATGTAGGGATGTGTGTATGTATGTATGTATGTATGTATGTATGTATGTAGGTATGTATGTATGTATGTGTGTATGTATGTATGTATGTATGTATGTATGTAGGTATGTAGGTATGTATGTATGTATGTATGTATGTATGTATGTATGTAGGTATGTATGTATGTATGTATGTATGTATGTATGTATGGATGTGTGTATGTATGTATGTATGTATGTATGTATGTAGGTATGTGTGTATGTATGTATGTATGTATGTATGTAGGTATGTGTGTATGTATGTATGTATGTATGCATGTATGTATGTATGTATGTATGTACGTTTTTATTTACTCCTGAACAAACTAATGTGTTGTGAGGGTTAATATTAAGTCTAAGCAAATTAGTACGCATATGAATTAGCATTCACTTTAGCAGATACTGCCAAAGCTTTTGAAATGTTGCAATACAACAGAGCGTTTCGCCTGTAGGCTAACATTATTTGTCTGTGTGATCTATTTGTTTTAGGGTGGAGAAAGTTATTGCATTTTGATTAATTGCGCTGTAATAATGCACACCGAAGAGTCAACCGCAATAACACCACATGGATTACAAAAGTAAATACGGCCTATTTTAATATCATGTTGACTTTAAAATGGTTAATTATCGTTCTGCGGCACTGAGAGATTTCTACAAGAAGCTTTTTTAGAGCTGAAAATAAGGACGTCTAAAACCCAAGGGCACATTTCACCATTTAATATTTGTAAATGAAACTGATGGTGCTGAAAAACAGTCATGGCACACAAGTGTTCACACATGCTGGAGACTCTCTGGTGTCTCTCGAGTGCCTGAGCTGCCAGGAAGACGGTCTGTGAGCAGGATATGACAATACATAAACTTAAAGCAAGAGTCTTAGAGCAACTTTTCATTCTCTTGAAGTTAACACTGTGGTTATACAAGACATGGCATCTTGCTGCCTTGGACACAGCTGCTTTAGCATTAGTATTACTGCTAAAGCTAAAACAGGTATGGATTTCTTGAAGTAGAACATAATAACTCAGGCATGAGAAGGTCTTTGTGAGAGACAAACAGAGAGAATTGATGGGGTGTTCGTTGTCTAACATTAGCCGTTACAGACATGCCATACTCTCACTGTCTCCTAATGCACAAGCGCATGCAGCGAGAGATGCTATCAGCCGCTAGCTCTCAGTGAACAGAGAACGGCATTCATTCATCTCCACAGGCTCTGCTTTATAACTGCACACAGAAAGAGCACACTGTGGGCTTTTAATCTCCGCTTAAGCTATATACAAAATCAGGCTTTTACAGCCGGACAGCTTTCATACTCTTAAAGGAAACATTTAGGAGAGACTTTTGTCCGCTAAGTGTAAGTGCTCCTCCATTTCCAGCCAATCAAGAAAAAACAAGACAAATCTTTATGTCGCACAATACATTTACAACACATGCAAGTATTAATGTAAGCTAGCTCAGAGTCTCAACTTTATTATCCCGTTTAGGGAAACTAAAATTGCAGCAAGGTGTCAGGGTTTCAGGAAGGATGAGGGAGCGAGGACTCAAATGCAACAGAAGATGGTATTTATTAATAAAAATAAAACAAAAAGGACAACAAAAACCACCCCGAGGGGGAAAAACATAACAATAAAACAAACACTCAAACAAACTTGGATGGGCTGGCAGGACAAACAGGACTGGATCTCACAGGACATGGAAATAACGACGACGAACTGGCACAGAACAGAAAACATGAAGGGATTATAAAGCAAAAGAAAACTGACACAAACAGGTGAACATGACAAACTAATAATGAGTTAACAAGGAGGGTGGGACTAGACAATAGACGGGAGAGCGCATGACAGAGACAAGACATGCGCTCACGTAAAACAGGACAAGAACATGCAGCCAATGAGAGAACTCATTAACCGCATGTTCATGACAACACAAGCACAACAATGAAGCACACGACAAAAGCACGTGACCACAATGTAAACACATAGCCACGTGCTTTGACAACAGACGCAAGACATGAGCACACGA